CCAAAATATCCCTCAGAGGGGATTCAGCTCCGAAATGTCCCTCAGAGGGGATTCAGCTCCAAAACATCCATCAGAGGGGATTCAGCTCTGACATGTCCACCAGAGGGGATTCAGCTCCAAAATATCCCTGAGGGGATCCAGCTCTGAAATGTCCCTCAGAGGGGATCCAGCTCTGAAATGTCCACCAGCAGGGATCCAGCTCTGAAATGTCCACCAGCAGGGATTCACGGTGTGCCAGGAGGCTCCAAACACTCCTGCAGAGCTCAGGAGGCAGCAGCAGCCTCGTGGCCACAGCACCGTTCCAGTCAGCAGCCACTTCCCCAATATTTAAGATGGCCAAAGCTCCCACACTTCACGTTTTGCCCTCTCAGGATTTCAGTTCAGCTCAGACCTCACTCTTTCCCCAAGAGCTTAAGGGAAACATTCCATAAAATTGCTTTCTGATTGCTTGCCCCAAATTCAGGGCACTGAGAATTTGAATTTAGCTCACTGGGACACAAAAAGTGACCAGGAAACAGGGAGGTGGGCACAGGACAGCAAGAGCTGATCTCTGAGCAGCACAAAGGGTGCTGCTGGCAGAAAACACCTTTTTACGTAGAATAATAAATACATTTAACATTAAACTTGATGGAAAGTTCAGGCACTATAGGAAGTGAGCAGAGAAAGCACAGATCAGTAAGGAAAATATTTTGCTAAACAACAACAAAATTGTTATTCTTGTGGTGGCTGAAATGTCCATCCTGTGATAAAGCTCTTGTAGCTGAACAACATTAAGACCAAAAAAAAAAGAGTTTTTGCTCCTCATTGTTGACTTATCCCAACCACACAACTGATATATTCCATACTGCTGCCTGCAGTGAGAGATGAGACCACAAACACTGGCACGCAGAAAGGATAATTTTTAATATTCTTCCCCAAATCTCTTGGTGTCCCTTTGCTGAGACCAGAGGACACCACCCTGGTGTACCAAGCTACTCCAGCTGCTCCATCCCTTTACACAACCCTTTACACCTCCGTGTAGCTTCTGGTGGGTTAAAATTAAAACACCTTCGCTCTGGTTTCATTCGACAAGGTGAATTTATTTGGGATGGGAGACTTAAACAAACACTTTGAACAAACTCGGCAGTTTTGGTTGCGCTGCCGTGTTCAGAGCCCACAGGGAAGGGAGGGGACACAGAGGCTCTGCTCACACAAACCGAACTGCCCACGGGGACAGGACGGGGACACCGGGACAGGGACACTGGAGCTGGGACAGGGGCAGCAGGATGGGTTCCAGGGCTGGGACAGGAGCACCGGGGACAGGACAGGGATACAGGGACAGGAGCACTGGGGACAGGACAGGGATACAGGGACAGGAGCACTGGGGACAGGACAGGGATACAGGGACAGGAGCACCGGGGACAGGATGGATACAGGGACAGGAGCACCAGGGACAGACCAGAGATACAGGGACAGGAGCACCGGGGACAGGACAGGGATACAGGGACAGGAGCACCGGGGACAGGATGGATACAGGGACAGGAGCACTGGGGATAGGACAGGGATACAGGGACAGGAGCACCGGGGACAGGACAGGGATACAGGGACAGGAGCACCGGGGACAGGACAGGGATACAGGGACAGGAGCACCAGGGACAAGACAGGGATACAGGGACAGAAGCACCGGGGACAGGACAGGGATACAGGGACAGGAGCACCAGGGACAAGATGGATACAGGGACAGGAGCACCGGGGACAGGACAGGGACACCGGCAGTGCATTCAGCGGGCAGGATCCATCCCATGGGCTCTCCCCTACAGGCACCCGGACACTGGGGTAAACCGGAGGGAACCTGCCCGGAGCCTCCGGGGCTGAGCTTCTCCAGGCCCCGACCGGGCCCAGCTCGGACTTTCCGCGATGCAGCCAAGGCCGGACCCGGTACAGCCCAGGAGGCCTCGGTACAGGCCGGACCCCCCCGGTAGAGCTCAGACCCCTCCCGGTGCAGCCCAGGCCGCCCCCGGTAGAAGCCGAGCCGCCTCCCAACACCCCAGCCCGGGCCGAGGCCCCGCCGGGGCTCCGGGCTCGGCTCCTCCCCGGCCCAGGCCCGGCCGCGGCCTCCCCGGTGCCCGGCGCCGGCCGTACCTGCATGGAGTCGGCGCTGACGATCTCCCCGCCGAGGCGCAGCCCGAGCTGCAGCGCCAGCGCCGATTTCCCGGTGCCGGTGGCTCCCAGGATCACCACGAGAGGCCTGGGCGGCCGCGGGGCCCGGCCCAGGCACAGCGCGGCCGCCGCCGCCATGGCCCGGCCGGGGACGGGCGGGCGGGACGGGGGCGGGCCGGGACCGGGGCCGGGGCCGCCCGCGGGGAGGACGGGGCCGGGCCCCGAGCTCCGTGTGCCCGTGCCCGCCGGGGCTCCCCTCCCCAGCCCCCTCCGTGCCTCTGTGTCCCCATCCTTGCCGCGGGTCCCCGCACCCAGCCCTGTCCCCTCCCCGGGTCCCGGGTACCCAAACCCCTCCCTGCTCCCACGACCCCTTTTCGGGTCCCTCGTTACCCCCCCAAGCCCTTGTCCACGCGTGGGGCTCTGCCCCGTGGTCCCTTTCTCAGGACCGAGTGGCAAGGATGCTGTTGCCATAGCAACGGGGCAAAGCGGTGAGGCGTGGGGCTGTTGCCATAGCAACGGGGCAGAGTGGGATGATGCGAGGGGGGTGCTGCCGTAGCAACGGAGAGGAGGGTGTTGCCATGGCGACCGCAGCTTCCACTGAGGCTCGTCCTTCCCATCGCCACGGCAACAGGAGATGGGGAGCGGGCCGCTGTCTCCGTGGCAACAGAGGGGAGGGAAGGAGAGGCTGTTGCCATGGCACCTCCACGGTGCTGCTCTCCCTGGCAACACACATCCCTCGCCATGGCAACAGGGAGAGGGAGGCTGCGGGCCAGGGGGGTGTGGGCAGCCAGCCCCCCTTGGCAGGGAAGGGATTATCACTGCCTCGGGAAACTGTCCTAAAAATTTGCCAGCCCAGGCGTGAAGGCGGCATCGAGCCCACGACACCCCCAGGCCAGCACAGGGACAGGAGGGAAGATGTGGTGGGCAAGCAGAAGTGGTTTGGGGGGTACAGCACAGAGCAGGGTGTTAGCAGGGCAGTGTGCATTAAAAAATAACGAATTCAGGCCCTGGCAATGCCGGCTTGTGATGATTGCAGCTGACACTCACAAATTGCAGAGCTGAATAAGTGAGTAGGAAAGCCCTGTGTGTTTATTTTGTTCACTTCATAGCACTGTCAGTCTCCTTCCCTCATCCTGACCGTGACAACATGAGAGGAGACATGTGCTCCAGTAACCAGGGAAGTTTCAGGTAGACACATATGGACACAAGCTTTAGGCAGAACTCAAAGGTGTTTACAAACTGCAACGCAGTTCTTCAGTTTGAGTTGGGCTTTGGGGACATCTCCCGTTGGTGACAGTCTCAGCTCAGTCCATGGATCTGCTCATCACTTCCAAGGAAGATAATTAATGTTCTAAACTTCCTTCAGCACGAAAAGCAAAAAAAACTTCTCGGGAGGGTCACCTTGAGCTGAGACAACAGAGACTGTGAGTGTGAGTGTCACAAAAACACCACAAAAATAACCGTTTGAGGGGCTGGTACAGCTGGGCTTTGTTTCCTGCGCATGGGCGAGGTGTCAGATTTAGGTCAGCCCGCTCCCTGGTTAAGCTGTGGGTCATGAGAGCACCTTTTAATGCAGCTCTGAAAGGCTGTGACACCGTGTGATGCAACACAAGAGTGTGAAACGCTGCTGGAACCAAAGGGATGGGTGTTTAAGGGCTTCTGTGTGCCATCCTTGCTATTTAAGGCTGGTTTCCCCCAGGTGATCGATGCTCCAGCAGCAGCAGCTCCTCGCTCCTGACTCCTCAGCAGTAACATAATCCCACATCCCTCCTGCATTTAGAGCGAGGCTTTTGCTGCCAGGACAAAGGAAACCCAAAGGCGTCAGGTTTGGGGGCAGCAGGGAGAACACATGTATATATAATTTCATCCACTTGGCAGATCTGGGATATGGAGCTCTCTGGTGCCCCTGGAAGCGAGTGGATTGCATTCCCCCCCTCCCTATAGGGTTACTGCCAGACCCAGCCCCAGTCCCTGACCTGTGTGGCAGCGATGGCCCCACACCCCCCGCCCCAAACCCCATTAGGGGAGTTTATGGTTACATCAAAGCCTTCTCCGAGCCCAGCCTGCCCTTCCTTGCCAATAAAACCACTTAGAAGGAGGGAAAATAATCCAGGTGATTCATTCCCCTGGCCGCAGCACCACCACCACTTCTTGGAGCGCTGGGAGAAAACCAGGACAAAGAGCTCAGTCTTGGTGCAGCTGAACCCTGGTGCAAAATAGATTAATTTCTATTCATGACCAGGATACCCCAAAACCCAGGGGCCAGAGCAGCCCCCCTATGGAAACCCACAGCCAACTGCACGGAAAAAAACAACCCAGACTGTTGCAAACTTATTTATTTATGAAGTATGAGGTAATGAAGAAAGTGCTAAATCCAACCAGTGTTAACTCTAACAGTTCTCAGCAGGTCAGCAGGGACCCCAGGGTGCCATCCTGCGGGACCACCCCTGCCAGCACCCCTGGGAGGGGACAGGGGACTCTGCCACCAACACATCCCCCCACAGGCCGGGCAGCAGGAGGGCACAGACAGGGAAGGCAGCGCAGCCCAACCTTTGCTGGGGATTTTAAGTGGCTGCTGGTGAAGAAGAACTCACGAAGGTGGGGGGAAAAAGGGTCACAAGGATGCTCACAAGGATGGGAAAGGGATAAAATTCCCTGTTATTGCAAATGGGTGGTTTGGAGAGCTGCAAGGGGGTGAATGGACTCTGCGAGGACTCAGCTCAAGGGTCCAGCAGGAGCCAGCCCCTTCCTGATCTCCCTAAAGTGCAGCAGGACTGAGCCCTCCCCCACAGCAGGAAATCCCCCTAAAAAAAAAAAAAAAAAAGTTTTTATATATTTATATATATATAAAAAAGCAAACTCTTTACCAATACTTCTCAAAAAGTGGTACAAAAATACAGTATAAAAACACAGTATAAGACTCGCAGTTACAGCAGCAGTTTCTAGAAGATAAAATCCAGGACCAGCTACTGCGTGAAGTGACAAGGAAGTGAGGTACGGTCCAGCCGAGCAGGGGGATTGCCCACGGGGTGCTGTTCATCCCAGTGAGAGACACATCCTGCCGTCACCATCTCCGTGGGATCCCTCCAGAGGACAGCCCCGTGCTGGGCTCTGTGTCTGCCTGCTTCCAGGAGCCAAGGCAGACGTGGTTGCTTGGGATTTTTAGGGTGAGGTGGATGCCCAGGCGTAGCTCCCAGAAATGCTGTGAGTGGCAAATGGCAGAGAGGGGTGCAGGGGCTGCTGGGGAGGGGGAATAAATTTGAGCTCTTGACCTGGAGCAGTCACTGAGGAAGCTTCGCAGCAGGGACAAGGGGAATTTTGGAACAGCCAGCGCCAGGAAGCCAACCCCAGGTAGGTGATGCTGGGGATGGGTCTCTGCTCTGGACCCGTTCCCGCAGCCACTGCCACGCGCTCCAGCCCCCGGGGCCAACGGTTCAACAAGCAACCAAAAAATTAAAAAATGTGCAAATTGAGAAGGAGCTGGGGGGTTGTGGGGACCAGAGTGGGGGGCACACCAGCTGTTAGTGCCCCTTAAGGTGAGCAATCCGTTTGAGCAGCTGGGTCTGGCGCAGCTGCAGCTGCCGCTTCTCGGCTGCCATCCTCCTCTCAGCACTGATGAGGGACTGCAGGTACTCTGAGGATTTGCTCAGGATCACCACTTTGGGGGTCTTGGGGCAGCTGGCAAGCCCGGGTACCTGGTCCCGCAGGGCCAGGAAGCGCGAGCGCAGGTCGTTGCGCCGCTTGCGCTCCAGGTAGTTGTGGTTTTTCCTCTTGGCCACGTCCTCGCTGTCCGAGCCGGGGCTGCTGCTGGGTTTTGGCAAGCCAGGCTCAGGCAGGCTCACGGCAGGGGCTGGCTCCGCAGCGCTGGGTGGCTCATCCTCCTCCTGGTCCTGCTGGGGTGACTCGGGAGGGGGACAGGAGTCCGGCGGCGAGCGGGCGGCGTAGTTGTGCTGCTGCTGGTGGACGGAGATGTGGAAGCGTTTCATGCAGGGGTCCAGGGGGTCGGCACGCAGCGTGATGGTGACCGGCTTCCTCAGGCCGAGCGATTGTCTCTTGTCCACCGTCACCACGTCGATCTCTTCACCTTCTGCTCACACGGCAAAGAAAGAACAAACCCCCATCAGCTGGGAATGCTCAGTGCTCTTCACCACCTTTCTATGGGTTCCCCACAGCTCCCTGGAAAACCTCCCCACTGACGTTTGCCCCCGCACTGCGAACTCTGCGACCTCTTCTGCGACCTCCAGAAGGGACTGAGTGATTTAAGTGCCCTTCCAATACCATCACGTGGGAAGGAGTGGAATTCCCTCCCTGCTTCATGCGCCTGGTCCCCCAGAATTGGACTGGGAGGCTTTACTTCCACCTCACTTCAGCACCAGGAGCAACGTGTGTTCATCATAAAGGATCACCAGGAAAGAAACAGCCGAGCCCTCCTGCGAGGTGGGGGGGAACTGGAGGAGCAGGATGCTGGGACAGCCTAGTTCCAAAGTTCACCCCGGTCGGGTGCTTTCATGGCCCATTGGAATTGTAAATGAGGGATATAAGGGCAGAACCAGCCTTTGTTTCCCTCGGCTGCAGCTTCCCACCTCGGTGACTTGTTACTTTTCACAAGTGATAAAGCCCATTCAGCCCCGGCTTCCCGGGGACAGAGGGGACAATCCCCCACCGCGCAGGGAGGGAGGGAGGGAGAGGTGAAGAGGTCCCAGAGCAGACTCTGAACCTCAAAGGCATCTCAAGCCCAGAAACAGAAAGACCTAAATAAAGCATAATTGGCCCCAAAGCACTCTGCCTGTTGCCACTGCAGTTGTCCCGGCCCAGCAAAGCCCAGTGGCAGGGAGCTGGCCCTGGGGACATCCGCAGCCACTGCTCTCACTTTAGGGGACGGGCCTCCAACTTTTTTCCTAGACTTCGGGGGAAAATACAGCCATTGCTAAAGGTCCCTTGAGATGCTCAAACGACCCCCTCAGCATCGTGGGCAGAGGTCTGGCCCCCATTATCCGGTGAGGGGGCCAGTGGTGAGCCCAGATAGTGGTCCCAGCCGATACCCCAAACCCTCCAGGCCTTGGGGTTCAGCCCAGGGAGCCCAAACCCCCCTGACACTGGAGCTCCTGGGCTGGGGGACACTCAGCAGTGTCACAACCCGAGCAGTCTCAGCCCCGTGTACACACACACAACCTCATTAATAAAAACTCACACCGCCTAACCCCGCCCCCCAGAGGCGCTCATTGGCTGGCTCACGGGGCAGGCCGGCTGTTCTGCCATCCCATTGGTCCGTGCTCCTGTCCGTCAGCGCGGCCCCTCTCATTGTTTGCAATCTGTTGCTTTTTGTTCGGCGCCCACGTGGCGCGGCCGGACCCCTCCGGGACCCCCGGGACCCCACCGGGACCCCACCGGCATCCCCGCGGCCCCCGCCAGGCCCGCACATATTTGGGTTAAGCCTCTTAACGCCCGCGACCTGGCTTACAGTCCCCGGGCTACTAATGGCATTAAGCCCCGCGCCGTGACTCACCGGCGCAGGTGGCGGCCACCGGCAGATTTATTAACGGGGTCACGGCACCGCGTCAGCGCTCCCACGGCAGCCGAGTCAGCCCGGCCTCCGCGGGAGCCAGGGAAACATCGCACGGGCCCCCACGGGGCGCGGGGAGGTTGCGGAGAGCCGGAGGGTGTTTGCAAATAAGCGCCGAAAATTGGCGTGGGATTGGAGAGATGAGGGGCAGCGGCACCACAATGCCCTTGGCGGGGGGGTTTCGGAGGTATCCGCGTCCCAGCCCGACCCTACCGTGTTGTAAACACCCACACACACACACACACACCCCACGCGGGACAGGCAGACGTGCCCCGGGGCTGGGCTGGGACACGCCGCAGCCGGGGCGGCTGTTCCTGCCCGTCCGACCGAGCCACCGCCTGCGGGGACACACCGCAGCTCCCAAACCTGCTGCCCCCGGGACATATTTTGCCTTTTATCCCGAGGGAAGCCCGTCCCGGGCGGACCGTGGGAGGAAGAAGGGGGAGCAGCCGAATTTACGAGCCGGTGGCAGAGCGCGGAGTGCAACGCTCAAACCCCCAAACTTTGCGCCGTGAGCTGCAAACTTGCCCTTCAACCTTCCCACGAGGTTTCCGTGGGGCCGGGACGAGGGAAAGGGGCCAGAGGGAGCCCCACGCACCTTCCCGAGAGGGACAGGGGTTTCCTGAACAGAAGCCCAGCGGGAAAGGGGAACAGCCGAGCCCGCTTTGTTCGTGGGGCCGGGACCGGGGCTCGCTTGGAGCCTCAACAAAGGCGCAGCCCGGCTGGGAGGCTCCCTGCACACACATGTGTGGACACGCGTGGCTCCAGCAAGGCCGGGGGCACCGGGCAGCTCGGCGGCGGAGCGGCTCCATCCCTTACCGGAATCGCTCTGGCCCTCGGATCCCGAGGATGCGGGGATCTTGCTCTCGGCCAGCGGGCAAAGGAAGACGGCAGCGGGATCCACGCACTCGCTGACGGAGCTGCTGAACCCAAAATCCTGCGCGAAGGACGGTTTGTGCGGGGTGGCTCTCTGCGTGCCCGTGGAAAGTTTCTCTGTCATCGCCTTCTCCAGTCTCTCCCGCGCTGAAAAACCGCTCCACATGCAATCCTTGAGGATGAAAGCGCTCAGGTTCCCGAAGATCTGCCCCGTCCCTATGAGATATTCCGGCTCTTCCCCGGCGAGGCAGTACCGGGAGAACCATCCCGGGCGCTCCTCCGCCCCCGAGAAGCACCCCTTCTCTCCGGGGGTGCCCAGCGGGGACAACGGGGGCGTGGGGACCAGCTCGAACTTCTTCCAGATGTCCTCGCTGGGCGCCGTGGAGCGGTGGAAATCCTCCTGGGCGTCGTGATCGTAGAAGTAGTGCTGGTACGAGTCCAACTCCATCTCGGCACGAGGAAGGGAGCGGCCGAGAGAAGAACGGGCGCTCAGGAGAGGGGCAGCCCCAGGGATGAGGGGGGACCCCCACCCCGGCGCCAGCCCCCGAGCCGGGACCGCGGGCGCATTGTTCCCCCGCTCTTATAGCCCGGCCGCGGAGCCCGGCCGCGCCCCCGCCAATCGCCGAGCGAGGATTTGCATAATGGGCGTGGCCATGGTCAGTGCCCCGCCCCCCCCCCGCGGGGACACGGTGAGGGGGGTCCCCGGTGGTCCCCGGTGTCGCTCCCGGGGTTCTGGACCTGCAGCCACCCCGTGCGTTGGGCTTGGGGCTCCTCGCTGTGCCCAGGAGCGTCCCGGGGGCTCCCAGCGCCGTCCTTGGCCCGGCGGGAGGGGCAGGGTTTGGGGGATCCCCCGGTGCAAGCGCTAAGGAGGGACACACAGCCGTGCCACCAGCCTGGGGACGAGAGCAAAGCTAACTGGAGAAGAGGGGACAAGTCACAAGGAGGCATCACCTGCTGCCGGGGACGATTTTTGAGTGCTCTTTCTCCTCTGTCCCCCCTGCTTGGCCGTCACCCCAGTTCCTGTTGGGCTGCCCAGCTCACACCGGACGCTGACACCACAGGCAGGAAAGTGGCTCCAGCGCTGGGCAGCAGTGGGGTCACTTAGTGTTTGTGTCCAGCTCAGGGTGACACCCTGGATGCCACCTGGAGGAATCCCTGCTCCTTCCCGAAGCCCCCACAGACCCAGCTGGGGACATTTCCCTCCTGAAAGACAGACACCAACTCCAGCAAAAAGCTGGCTAAAGCAAGGAGGGGCTGTGGGAACACGAGAAAAACAGAGCTGGGGGACACAGTGCTCATGATGAATGAGGTCTGTGCACGGAGGAAGGGGCTGGGAGCCCCTGGGAATGTCAGGAGCCACAGGCTGGAGGGAAGCTGGGGTGCCCTGGGACATGCACACAGCTCCCACCAGCAGCATTTTGCCCATGCAGCACCTGGCACGTCCAGCCTTGGGGTCCGGAGGGACAAGCTGTGTGTGTCCTTGGGGACACGGGTGATGCTGCATCTCTCCAACGCCAAGTTCCTTCTAGAAAGGGCAATAAATGTTGTGAAAACACAGTGGGGCTTTCACCTCCTGCACTTAATTGTTACACACACACACACGCAGGTACAAAGTCCACCGGGAACCGACAGATTCCCCTCACAGTGTGTGTGTGAACCCACTTCACCCCAGCACCGTCCTTTCTTCACCCGCTGTGGATGCGGCCACGGGATTTGCCCCAGCCGGCAGCACCGGCAGCTCGGGGGGACTGGGAGCACCGGCCCTGGAGGGAGGAAGCTGTCCCAGTCCAGCCCAGTCCAGCCCAGCACTGCAATGCCCTTCATGGACCAGCACAGCCCAGTAAAGTCCAGTGCGGTCAGACCAGTGTAGCCCAGCACTGCCCAGTCCAGCCCAGCTCAGACAAGCCCAGTCCAGCCCAGTCCGATCCATCACGGCTCCCCCCGCTCCCTCCCGGTCCTCGTCCCCCTCCGCCGCCACCGGCGGGCGCCGGGCGCCACCTGCTGGGCCCCGGGAGCACCGTGCGAGGGGCGGCGGGGACGGGGACGCGCGGGTGACACCGCACCAGGCACCCCCCGCCTGGGGGGACAGCGCTGCCCATCACTCCGTGCCTCAGTTTCCCCATTGCCTCGGTTTCCACACTGCTCCATCTGAGGGCACTGAGCAGGCAGAGCAGCGGGGCTGGGAGTGGGCGCTGGGCTGGCGGCTGTCCCCAAGCAAGTGACGTCCCCCGGTGTGTCCCGGTGTGTCCCCGGGAGGCTCCGACCCTTCCCTTGCTGGCTCGGGGCTCGGCGGACCCTGCAAAGCTTTGCGAGAGTGCTGGCCCGGGGCTGTGGTTTCCCTCCATGGCCACAGCGACCTAAATGTCCTCCTGGCCCTTCCAGGGCATCCCTGAGCATCCCAATCCTGCCCGCAAAGCCCGTGGGGCCGGGGCAGGAGCTGCGGGATCCGGGAATGGCGGTGGAGCCCGGGTTGATGTTCCCTCTGTGCTCCGATCTCAGCTTCGGCCCCGGTCCCCAGCCACGCTGGGAGCCCGGGGCGTGTGGCCGGGCTGTCACCAGCTGGAGCCCTCCCACCTTTCCCTTTCCCTCTCTGGGAAGCGTGGGTGAAGCCACAGATCAGCCTGCACTGAGGGCAGAGCTGCCACAGAGATTTGTGCAGTGACAAGCGCTGGTGGCGCTGGGGACACGGCTGGCACTGTCCCGGCCCCGCCTGCCGTAACCCCGGCACCTCCTCAGGCACAGGAGAGCACCCTGCCCCAGCCTATAGCGCCCGGCCACGTCTCCATCCTTCCTTCCTTCTCCCCTTCGTCCCCGCCGGCCTCTGGGACACGGCCAGCTTTTCCCAGGGCGAGGCAGGAGCCTGTCCCGGCTCCGAGGGGCTCCGGGTGCTCTGAAGGTGCAGAAGCGGCGCTGGAGGGGGCTGGAGGGGCAGCGCAGCCCTTTCATCCCTGGCGAGCAGCACCCGAGAGCCTCTCGCTGCTAACACCGTGGGAGGGTGACAGCTCCGGAGGCAGCGGTGACAGCGACAGAGGGGCCACCCACGGGACAGGACAGCCCTCACCGTGCCCCGCAGCTGCACGGTGCTGGCACAGGTCCCCAGGCAGCGCCACTGCGTGTCCCCGGCGCTGGCACAGTCCCACGGGAGCTGCCCTGGTGGCTGGCACTGTTCCGCACATGATGCAAGGGCAGCTCTGCGTGTCTGTGGCCTTTGGATCCCCACCTCCAGCAGGGCTGGGCTTTGAAGCTCCAGACCCCAGAGGGCTTTCCCGGCAGTGAGCAGCCACCCCCGGAGCCTGACAGATGTCTCGGGGGTGTCCTGGGTGTGGTTCTGCCTCTTGGTGTCCCCATCCCACTGCAGCAGCAGCCCTCCAGCCGCAGAGGCTGTGCCAACACATCCTGGCTCCATCTCGTCCCCCTCTGCCTTGTGACACGGTCCCCAGGGTCCCACACAGGAAAGGGGTGGGCAGCACAGGGCAGCAGCCACGCAGTGAGTCCCTTTTGTCCCCGAGAAGCTGTTGGCTGGAGGTTTGCAAAAAATGCCATCCCAAGCCCCTTTGGGCTGCAGCACCACCACTGAACGCTGCCCAGCCTGAAGGGAGGGGGACAGAGCCCACAGCCCCGGGGTCACAGCAGCCCCAACTCCCTGGGCGTGCGGCCACCCACTCTGAGAGTGCAGAGAAAAAGAGAGGAAAATGCACCGCTGCTTCCAGCCCTGCTGCCTCCTCACTCCCTCCATCCCTCCCCTCATTTTGCCGCTGTCACACCCCGCCCGACAGCAGGAGGTGCCCTGAGCCCTGGAGAAGCTCTGCGGTGTCAGGCAGTGCTATCCACACGCTCAGGAAGATCTGCGGTCCCCCCAAAACCTCTGGGATCACCTCGCTGCTGTTCGTCCCCAAGCCCATCCTTCCTGTCCGGGCTGGCCCAGCCTGGCAGGGCTGTCTGGTTTCGGGTGCTCTCACACTTGCTCAGATCCTGCTCCAGGCTGTGCCGGATGTGACAGCGGGAGGTGTGGGTGGCAGGTGGGATGGCATCGTGCACCCCCATCCTTCCATGTCCTCAGGGCCAGCATTTGGGTGCCATCCCCAAAAAGGCCCCGTTGGTGTCCCCAGCTGAGGGATGTGGAGGCCCCCGGTGCAGTGTCACTGTCAGAGGGGTGCTTGAAGTGGTCCTGGTGACAACGGTGGCCCTGTGAGTGGCCCAGCCCAGCCATCTGCGGGTCCCTGGAGTTCCCAGGCTTGGCAGGAGCTGCTGCACGGACATCCCCGCTGGGATCAGCCCTTGGCGGGTCCTTTATCACCGTGAGGATCCCCCAGAGCATCTGCTCGGGAGGAAAGGCTCAAATCCCCCACCGGAAATTGTGCAATAGCAGATCTGGGGGAGAAAATCCTCCTAATCCAGGGAAATCCTGGTCTGTCTACTTCTCCTCTTCATATGCAAGGCTGGGCTCACCTATCTGTGGTGTTTCTGCACAATCTCTGTCTCAAAGGCTGTCTCTTTGTTCCCCTAAATCCGTGTTTGCCCAGGAGGCAGCTCCTGAGCCTTTGCTCAAGGACAGGAATGTCAAAAGCATTCCCAGGAGCTGAGGAGCCCCAAGGACAAAGGGAGCAGAGTAATGGTGCTGGGGTCACACCCAGTGGGGGTCTGGTCCCCAGAGCATGGCCAAGTGCCACCACAGGAGTCCCCTCTGCTCCTTGGCGAGAAGTGTTCCATGTGAAAAGGGAAACTGAGGCAGGTCTTTATCCACACCTGACTCCTCGCTTCTTTAGAGGTATTTTGTGTCCCTGATTTGGATGCCCTGAAGCCCCACACAGGTCCCCATCCCGAGGGGGTGGCATCTCTGTGACACATCTCTGTGACAGGGGAACCCACTGCAGGTGTATGAGGGGCCAGAAACTGTGAGTCAATGGTGACACCAGCTCCGTGCTCCCAAAAACTGGGAGTGCCTGGAGCTGCTGGGCCACCCAGCCTGCTCATCCCTCAGGTTCTGCTGCATCCCAGGCCCTGTCCTGCCTGCTCCCATCCCCACGCCCAGCTCCAAGTGGCACTCAGGGCACGGCACCGGTGCCACGCTGGCCCCCTTGGCCCAGCCCTGCTCTGCAGCCTCATCTCAGGGTGATCTTTGAGCCCTGGTGGCCTGAGCCAAGGGCAGCTGGTGGCTGTCACTGGGGTGACACGACACTGACACGGGTCTGTGTGTGCTCACTGGTGGGCAAACAGCAGCTGGCACAGCTGAGAGGGGCTGGGATCGATGTCTGTGTGTCCATCCAGGGAGGGGGACACTGCGAGTGTCCCCTGCATCCTTTCCAGCAGGGCCTGTTGTGTGACAGGACAAGGGGTGATGGTTTAAACTGAAAGAGCGGAGGTTTAGGTGAGATGTAAAGAAAGTTTTTAACCATGAGGGTGGTGGGGCACTGGCACAGGCTGCCCAGAGAGGAGGTGGATGCTCCATCCCTGGAAGTGCTCAAGGCCAGGGAGGATGGGGCTCGGAGCAACCTGTCTGGGAGGTGCCATGACATGGGCTGCAAGGCCCCTTCCAACCCAAACCGCCCCGCGATTCCAAGGGATGAAGGGCTGGGATGGAGGGAAGGGATGGAGTGGGGGGCTGAGGGATGAAGAGCGGGAGAATGGAGGGATGAGGTCAAGTGGGACAGAAGGGAGGCAACGAAACCAGGGAGCCGCAGGGAGGGGAGCGCTGCCGGGAGAAGGGCCGGGACAGGAGGAGGAGGAGGAGGAGGAGGAGGAGGAGGAGGCAGCTGGGGGCGGGTCCTCCCGGGGCGGGCTCGGCCGGTACAAGGGCGGGCGGCGGCGGCTCGGCCCATTCATCGCGCACGGCATGGCCGGGGGCGGCGGCGCGGAGCCGGCCGGGTCCGGGGGGCTCCTGCCGCCCGCTCTCCGCCAGCACCGCCGCAGGGTGGGCACCGGGGACACGCGGAGGGGGGCACCGGGCTGGCTCGGGGCGGGGGGCGCTTCCCGGGCTCGCTAACTCCGGTCCCGGTTGCAGGAGAGCCGCGAGCGGCTGTCGGTGTGCAGCAAGCTGTGCTACGCCGTCGGGGGGGCTCCGTACCAGATCACGGGCTGCGCCCTCGGCTTCTTCCTCCAGATTTACCTGCTGGACGTGGCGCAGGTACGGCCGCCCTGGGGCTGGGCTGGGGGGCGGGATTGGCCGGGGGTCCCGGAGCTCCCGGGGCCGCTCTGCCCGGGGCATGGAGCTCTCGGGGCTTGGCGGTGCCGCGACCCCCCCGCCCCGGACCCCCGGTGATGCGGTGTCCCCCGGGCCCGTCCCGGGCGTGTTGTTACCGTGCGGCCGCTCCGTGTTTGGGGTGCCCACGGGACAAAGCGGGGTCGTGGTGGCTGTTTTGGGGGGGCACGGGACCCGTCCTACAGAGCCGCAGCGTTCCGGGTCGGTGTGAAACACGGAGGGAAGGAAACCGTGGAGGAAGAGGCTGTGGGTTCCCTTGGGCTGGGTTTGGGGAGGTCCGAGATGTGGGAATTCCGTGTGGAAAGAGAGTGGTGGGGCAGCGCTCGGAGCTGCCGGGAACCTCAAATCCCTCTGAACGAGGAGGAGAGAGCGGGGAGCTGCTCCCGGATGGTTGTGGGGTCATGGTAGGTGGGGTTGGGGTGGTCCTGAGGGGCTCAGGAGGGGCAGCTGGGAGCACTGGGGGTTTGCACATCCTGACACAAGTTTCTCCTCCTGCAGGTGGACGCTTTCTATGCCTCCATCATCCTGTTTGTGGGACGAGTGTGGGACGCCATCACAGACCCCATGGTGGGCTTCTTCATCAGCAAAACCTCCTGGACCCGTTTCGGCCGCCTGATGCCCTGGTAAGAGCTGCTGCCAGCAGCCTGCATTCCCTTCCTGATGTGTCACAGCTCTTCCAGTCAGCTTTGGGTATCCCCTGGCATGAGGCGTGCAGGGCGGGACGTGCTGACACCCTGGCTCACCCAGGTGAGGTGCCAAGAGCTCCAAAAAGCCCCAGGTGCCACCAACAGCTGGGTGGCCTCGAGTTTGTGCCAGTTTCTCTGGCCGGTCCCGAGCTGGACCTGGCTGACCTCAATGTCACTGCACCTGCAAGCTCTAATGTCCTTGCCACCGTGCTGGACTTTGTCCCTGCCGTGGCTGCAGGGCCATGGGAGGGTGGCAGCACCACAGGGACAAGGGCTGGGGGTGTGTGTGTGGCCGATGAGTGGCGGTGGAAGCGCTGGCTGACGGTCACGAGAGTGCTCCCGTGGCAGGGAAACAGCTGTCACGGATCTGGGTGTCTGCACGTGGGTGCTCCTCGGGCTGAAGGAGCAGATGGGATGGGCTTTGTGAACCCCCAAACCGCTCGTGCCTGCACCCAGGGCAGGCTTAGGGCATCCCTGAACACCTGTTCCCGCACGGGATGCGGAGCATTAATGCCTGAGTGGGGACGGGGTGGCTAAAATAACCTCGTGCGCCTGTGGGATCGCAGAAACACAGAGAGGGTGGGCTCGGGGGGGAGAGTGGAGCTGGAGGGACGCAGTGCTTTCCCCCACAGATTATACCCTCTGCTTCCTGCCTTTCCTGGAATAGCTCTGGGCAGCAGCAGGCGGTTGTTGAAGGCGGGCTCCACACACGTGGCCTGAAATAGCTTCTCCCTGCCTGCAGCAGGGTCTGGGGTCCGGAGATTAGCACGGGGCGTGCGGCAGGGCTGTGTGGGAGAGCCACGGATGGTTCTGCTCGCCCTAATCTCGAGGCAGGGGGTGGGACTGAAGTGGCCGCATTCCTCCTGCTCCGTTAAAATTAGCCAGAGCTGTTGGCTTGCGCTGGGCCCCTCAGCAGCGCCGGGGCAGCCGGAGCTCGCCGCTATTGTGCGCGGCTCAAGGGCTGCCCGCTGAGCCCAATTTGGATGGAGTCAGGCTGATTTTAAACCTCTTAAACCCAGGTTTTTCTGGCTCTGCGGGGCTGAGCAGCCCCAGGCGGGTGGTGCCGCCGTGGCTGCGGAGCTGCTGGCGCTGCCTCAGTTTCCCTGCGTGCAAAGCCAGGAGCTGCAGGTGCTGGGGTGGTCTCAAGGCTGCTGCTTGACCCCAACCCTCAACACCTGCGAGGTGATCCCGCCGTGTGTGAGGGTTTATTGCCGGGCTCTGAAGGGGCTGATCCGTGGGACCAAGCCCAGCTGGCTCCAGCACAAAGCTTGTGGCTGTTCCAGTTCCTCAGAAGGGAGAGGACACCTTCCCTCAGGGCCACCACCTCTCTCCTTTCAGTTCTCTTTCTTTCAAGCACTTTTTTGTCGCATTTCCTTCCACCACCTCATCTACTGGCTGCTTCCTCCTCTTCCCCAGCCTCGTGGACGTCACTGCCCCCAGCTCTGAGCTGGGATCCCCATTTCCTTGACCACCGCGGACTTCTCCCTGACTAAACTTTTCCTTGAGGTGACTGAGAAACCCCTGGCTTTGACCTCGTCTGGGGGCAGCAGACAGTTGAAGCTGGCCGGGAAGGGGTGTGCGAGCCGCACAAAGGAACACACCACCGAGCGGGGCCAATGAGCGCCGGGGCACGTCACAGCAGCCGCCTCCGAGCGCCTTCATCACCTCTCCCCGGGTCAGGGGTTACTCTCAGTCACTCCTCAGCCTGCCAGGAGCTGTGGTCAGCCCTGGCCGGGGCTCAGCTGCCCGGCGCTGGGGGGAATTGGCACATCTGACGCTCATGCGATGCCGAGCGTGACGCCGCTCTGGTGATTTCATTCAACGTTTGGCTCCGCGTTTCTCTTGGCTCCGCGTATGCGAGCGCAGATAAGCGGCAGCGAGGAGGGGCTGGAGCTGCTCTGAGCTTTCCTCCCCACCCCCCCCCGCCTTCCCCAACGGGGTGACGTGGGCGAGGAAAAATGTGCATGTGTTGTGTCCTGTGCAGCCTCTGTCGCTGCTCTCCATCCACGGAGTTTCTGTTTCTCTCCCCGCTCCCTCCCCGGCTTTAAATTTAAGCTTTGCGTCCTGTACGTCAGCCCGGATGGAAAGATCGTGCTGTACCCTGGCCATGAGTGGCTCTGTCCCGTGTCCAGTTCTGCTGGACTCGCTCCAGGGCCTCTGTCCTGGGGTTTGTGGAGCGCAGGGTGCTCGCAAATCCCCCGGAAAAATCCATCTCTTAAACAGACGTGGGTTTAATCTCAACACCTGGCTCGCTTCCCTCCGTCCTGCTCCCCTGGGTGATGGGGGGCCCTGGGTGCCCGTGGGGTGCCTGTGGTGTCCCTAGGTGTCCATGGTGTCCCCGGGTGCCTGTGGGGTGCCCGTGGTGTCCCCTGGGTGTCCATGGTGTCCCTGGGTGCCCGTGGTGTCCCTGGGTGCCCCCAGGGGGTCCCTAGGTGCTTGTGGTGTCCCGTGGTGTGTCCCTGGGTGCCCATGGGGTCCCTAGGTGCCCGTGGTGTCCCTGGGTGTCCCCAGGTGCCCGTGCATGGCAGAGCTGTGCCCCGGCTGTCCTGCAGCAGGACAGGGGTTATGAGATGCGCTGCATGAAGTGGGCAGATGCCCTTGCTGGCAGATCCTGCAGGAGTTCCTGCCAAGGCCCAGCACTTGAGCAGTCCCCTCTGATCCCCTGTTGCGTTTTGCATCCCGTGTCGCTCCTCCCACAGCTCGGGAAGGCTGGGCAGAGGTGGAGGAAGGAGCCAGCCTCTCAGAGAGCAGGGCTGACCCCAGGAGCAGGGCTTGGGGGGCCTTGGCAGCAAAGCCAAGCTGGTGAGAGGTTTTTGGCTGCTGGGGAGCAGGGCTGAGCTGCCTGGCTGTTCCCCAGCTGCTCCCCAGCCCTTGCCAGGATGAGGGAGGTGATTGCATCCTGCTGAACACAGCAGTGCTGCCTGGGGGAGAGGTCGGGGCCGGGGGTGGAAGCCAAGGCAGGAGCAAAACAATCCCTTCCATGGAAGGAGACATCTCTGTTAGTGCAAGGAAATCTCTTCTCTGGAATACTGAGTCAGCTCTTCCAACCCTGTGAGGCCTGAGCTGCTGCCTCCAGTGTGGTTTGGATCACCCTGGAGCAGCTCAGGAGCCCCCAGATCAGATGCCTGAGCCCCACGGGATGTGTGGAAGCAGGGGGAGCTGGGCTGGTCAGGCTGACATTTTGTTCTCTCAAAGGATCATGTTCTCCACCCCTTTTGCCATCATCTCCTACTTCCTCATCTGGTTTGTGCCAGACATCTCCAAAGGACAAGTGATGTGGTATCTCGTCTTCTACTGTGCCTTCCAGACCCTCGTGACGGTGAGTCGGGCTCTGCTCACACCTGGGATGGAGGCTGTCAATCCCTGCCTGCTCCTTGCTGAGCTGCACAGAGGGGCAGAAACCACCCTGCCCCAGGTCCCCAGGGCTGTTCCACCCTCCCTGAGCCACTTCTCCTTGTGCCATTGCAGTGCTTCCACGTGCCTTACTCAGCCCTGACCATGTTCATCAGCAGGGAGCAGAGCGAGCGGGACTCGGCCACTGCCTACCGTAAGAGCCCCCCCTTCCCTTTTCCCCTTTTTTTCCCCCCTTCCCTTTTCCCCTTTTTTTCCCCCCTTCCCTTTTCCCCTTTTTTTCCCCCCTTCCCTTTTCCCCTTTTTTTCCCCCCTTCCCTTTTCCCTTTATCCCTTGGGGATTTGGAGGGAAGCACAGCTGGTCTGGCTCATTTCTCCCTGGGAAGGGCAGTGAATCCCAGCTCTGGGGATGCTCTGCTGTGGCCAAGGGCTCATTCCTGCTGGCCTCTCCCTCCAGGTATGACCGTGGAGGTGCTGGGCACCGTGCTGGGCACTGCCATCCAGGGCCAGATCGTTGGCAAGGTGGACACCCCCTGCATCGGGAGCCCCTTCTTCTTCGGCTTGCCCAACTCCTCGGTGGCCATGGAGGAGCTGAACACGACCCACGACACGGCGTCGCTCACGGACACGGTGAGCTGGGGATCCCCCAGAGCAGCCTTGATCCCGGGATGAGCCCCTTCCCTGACTGCTGCTCCTTCTCTTGCACAGAGAAATGCCTACATGATCGCTGCGGGGGTCATCGGGGGGCTCTACATCCTCTGTGCCCTCATCCTGCTGCTGGGCGTGCGGGAGAGGAGAGGTGAGGCTGGAATGTTTGGAATTTCTTGTGGAAACGCTGCTGTTCCTCCCTCTCCAGGGGTCTGGCCGAGCTTTTGGCCCCTCGTTTGTGGGGTCTCCCTGAGGAGAGGGCAGGTGGAGCTGAGCTCTGGGTCTGGGGAGGTGCTGCAGAAGGGCAGGAGAACAGAGCACCTCTGGGAGCTGTTAGATAACCTTTATCTCACCCATTTCTGCCTGGCCAAGGTTGGCAGTGCCAGCCAGGGCATCCAGGGGGGGATGTGATATCCAAACTTCCGTCCTTCCCTCTCCCTGCTCATCCTGGGGCAATCCGTGGGGCTGAGGAACCCTGGCTGAGGGCAGGGCTTGCTCTGACTCCCTTGGGCTGGGCTGCTGTGGGTGGGCAGGGGTTGTGGGGGGCAGGATGGGGCACCCATGGGTGCTGTTTTGGGGGGGATCTAACCCTGGGCTGATCTCTGCTCCGCAGAATCCTCCGAGCTGCAGTCGGACGAGCCTGTCTCCTTCTTCCAGGGGCTGAAGCTGGTGATGAACCACGGGCCCTACATCAGGCTCATCGCCGGCTTCCTCTTCACCTCGCTGGCCTTCATGGTGAGCTGGAGGTGCTGGGGACAGGGAGCAGCGTGGGGGTGGCTGTGGGGACAATCCTGGGGGCTGGGAGCACGTGATGGATGAGCCCCGGGCGGAGGGAGGAGGATGTGGCCTCGTGCCCTCGGTGAACGGCCGCTTTCTTCCCCTGCCTGAGCTTTGTGAGGACAGACGTGTCCCCCCTGACCCCTGGCTGCCTTTTCCACAGCTGCTGGAGGGAAACTTCGCCCTCTTCTGCACCTACACCCTGGGATTCCGCAACGAGTTCCAGAACATCCTCCTGGCCATCATGGTGGGTACGGCCCCGTCCTGGGGGCTGGCGTGGGAGAGGGGCTCCGCGGGCTGAGGGGAGGGACAGGGACACAGGGACAGTGATCAGAGGTGCCCTGGGAGCAGGGCAGGGAGAAGCAGCTGCCAAATGTCCTGCAAGGGCCGGGTGGGTTGGCAGGAACAGCGGGGCCTTTGTTCCCGTGTGAACAAGGCCACAGACGGGGGAGACCAGGAGCCATGGGGGCCTTTTGTCCAAATCCTGCCACTTGTCTCCCTCCCATCCCCGCTTTGAGAAAAGGATCTCAGTGTTTACTGCCAGGAGCATGGAGCAAAACAGCTCCTTGGGAGCTCTTTCCAGCTTGCCTCATTCCTGTTCTCTCCTCAGCGGGGTGGAAGGGCCCAAGGTGGCTCCGGGCCACGCTGTGCGCGGGTGACAAGACCAGCACCGAGGATCGAGTCAGATCCTCGCTCTGTCGGGACAGGTGCGCTGCCAGGGCTGTGCACTGCGGGAGGAGGTGGCCCCACACACCTCTTGTGGCTCTGTGCCAGCCCCAGGAGCGTGTGGGAATAGCAGGTGCTGGAATTTGGGATGGGAGGAGGCCGTGCCAGGAGCTGGTCCTTGCTGGGACGGGCCTTTCCTGCAGAGAGGAGCCAACCATGACCCTTCTCTTCCCACAGCTCTCGGCCACCTTGACCATTCCCTTCTGGCAGTGGTTCCTGACCCATTTTGGGAAGAAGACAGCTGTCTACGTGGGCATCTCCGTGAGTGTCCCCTCAAGCGTGGGCTCTTTGCCACATGGGATGAGCAGAGTTCCCCCAGAAGAGCACAGAGCTGGGCAGGGGCTGCTGCTGATGACAATTTGGTGCCTGTGCCTCCTCCTGCTGTTTGTGCTGTCCTGGGGCTCAGGGAGGGGGACACTGCACCCCTGGCTGTCCCCACAGCTGGAGGGCTGGGATATGTGGGAGAGAGAAAAGCCAGGGGGGTCTGGGCCAGGCCCTGCTGATGCCAACCTGTCCCTCTGCAGTCTGCCATCCCCTTCCTCATCATGGTGGTTGTCCTGGACAGTAACCTCTTTGTCACCTACGTCGTGGCCGTCGCCGCCGGGATCAGCGTGGCAGCCGCCTTCCTCCTGCCCTGGTGAGCGTGAGGGGCTGGGCAAGGGGCTTTCTGAGGTTAAAAACCCTCAGAAGGATTTTTTGGCAGTGCTTTCAGCCCCAGGTGGGGCTCTGCTCTCGGCACAGAGGAGGTGCTTCGCTGTCTCACTCCTGGTGGTCACCGTCCCTCTCTCTGCACAGGTCCATGCTGCCAGATGTCATCGATGACTTCAAGCTGCAGCACCCCAGCTCCCACGGCCATGAGGCCATCTTCTTCTCCTTCTATGTCTTCTTCACCAAGTTCACCGCCGGGGTCTCCTTGGGCATCTCCACGCTCAGCCTGGAGTGAGTTCCTGCGTGGGAGCTGAGGGGAGGGCAGGGAGGGGGAACTCCCCAGGCTCTGGGAGGGAGCTGATGGGGTCTAAATGCACTTGTTGCTCCAAAGCTCTCCCCACAGGGAGCAGCTCAGCTCCTGCAAACCCTTTTTCCTTTGCCTGACAAACCCTCTTTTCCTTTCTGCCCACAGCTTCGCGGGGTACCAGACCCGGGGCTGTTCCCAGCCTGGCCAGGTGAACTTCACCCTGAAGATGTTGGTGTCTGCTGTTCCCGTGGGGCTGATCCTGCTGAGCCTGCTGCTCTTCAAGCTGTATCCCATTGACGAGGAGAAGCGGAAGAAAAACAAGAAAGCCCTGCAGGATTTAAGGTGTCAGGCAGCAAACATGGCGTGGGGGGGGGGGGTGTGTGTGTGGGGGCAGGACCAGATGGGTTGGGACACACTGTGACTTGTCCGGGAATCTTCCAGGACCTGTGGGAGGTGACGGGATGGGCTGCCTTGTTTTCCCAATCCCAGCTTCCAAAGGGATGGTGTGAAGTGTTGGGAGATCAGGAACCCGCCCTGGCTGCCACCCCCAACTCCTGTGGGGGCTGCACGAGGTGCTGATGTCCCTCTGGAGCCTCCTGTGCCCCAAGGCAGATATTACTGGGATGCAGACCTATGGCTCAATCCATGCCTCATTCCCAACCCTTTCCCCCAGGGAGGAGAGCAACAGCAGCTCGGAGTCGGACAACACAGAACTGGCCAGCATCGTGTGAGCCGGGCTGGCTCTGTCTGCCCACGCTGGGGCTCCCCAAGGACTCGTCCCCTCCGGGCTGGCCCAGCCTGGTGCCACTGGAGGTGCTGGAAAAGCCGTGTGGAGCATCCACTGCCTGGAACTCGGGATCTGTGCCCGTCCTGTGCCTTGCACGGGGCCCACAGAGCGCTGGTAGTGTACATTACACACAATGTGGTGCCTCACCGCAGACAAACACTCTCCCTGCCGGGCTCTGGAGGGCAGGGATGCCCAGATTTGGGATGGTTTTGCCTGGAACAGCCGTGCCCATTGCCCTGCCTGGGGGTGATCGTTAGTGTACATTACACTGTCAGTGTGCCCAGGACGTGAGCTCACCTCTGCTGTCTCTACAGAGGGCACTAATGTGGGAGCTGTTCTTTTTTTTTTTTTTTTTTACAGAGCCTAATTAACTTAATGATGTAAATATGGAGCTGTTTCCTGTTTGTATATATCTGTACAGAACCCAAACCCGAGGACCTGTTAATATTAATTTACATAAAAGTGGGGGAAGTCGGCAGCGGGTGTGAAGAATTTTTTTTCCTTTTCTCTGCTGGGATTTTTCACGGCTGTCAGCCAACCCAGGGTCCCTTTACACACCACAGGGTGCAGGATTGACTTTTCCTGAGCTGTGGTGCAGGAATGCCATAATCCAGGCAGGAGGCTGTGCTCAGCCCCTTGCCCCCGTGCAGCTCCTTGCTCGGTGCCTGTGTCGCAGCCATCCAACAAAGGCTCTATTATTTCCTCCTTTTCAAGAGGGGAATGGGGGTGGAGGGAGGAATGAAATCAAAGTGCTGCCAGCAGAGATGGTGAACTCGAGGCTGGAAACAGGAGAGGCAGCTGGGGAGCAGAGAGAAAGGGAGTGTGGGCTGTGGGTGACACTCAACACTGGCTGCCGGGGCAGAGTGCTGGGGAGCACTAATCTCCCTGGATATTTATACCCTCCTCTCGCATTCCCTGCTCCCACAGCACAAAGAGGGAGAGCCCTGCCCTCCCCAACGCCTCCAGCAGCAAGTGGAACTCCAGAAAAGGGGGCTGGAGGCAGTGCAGGGATGAAGCAGCCACCCCCATGGATGGATGGGGTGAATTCCCAGCTGGTGCTGGCTCTGCGCTGTCCCCGAGGCCGCTGCAGAGGGGACAGGGCTGCTGCCTTCGGGTCACACCGAGAAGTTGGAGGGGCCAGGGCTGAGCTGAGAGTGGGGGGTTTGGGGGGAAGGATGGCTCACCCTTTGTTCCACATTTGGGTACAAAGGACAGGAATGAGGATGGAGTTTAAAAATAGCCAGAGGGATCAGCTGGGAATGCTCCCCCAGGCCCCACTCTGCCCCTGTGGCTGGGAAAGAGGGCAGAGGGATGGTGTGGCGAGGCTGGGAGCTGGTTTTGTGCTCAGCAGGGCCATGAGGCAGTGCTGGCCGGGGCTGGGGAGCTCCCTGCAGCAAAGGGACGAGGGCAGGACAGCAGGGGGACAAAGTGCAAGCCCCTGTGGTGGGGCAGGTGCGTGTCAGGAGCACCCTCTGCATGAAGAGGAGGAGGAGGAGGAAGGCTCCAGCCAACACAGAGCTCAGGGTTGTTGGGGATGTTGTGACCCCTGCACTGCTCCTGGCCATGACCTGGCTGCCTCTGAGGGGTGTGGGCAGTGCTGCGGCCTCCAAGGATTTGAAAGATCGCTGCGAGCCTTTGTTTTTTCTCAGAAGTGTTTCAAGAGAAAAAAAGGGACATTTTATTCTTTGCCTCCTTGTTTTTTCGGCTCTTCACGAGGAGGAGTCTCTGTTCAGGTTTTTTGCAGCCAGCCCAAGAGAGTAAAACCATCCAGAGGAGCTTGAGCTGGGGCCTGGATATTCCTCCCTTCTCCCAGAAGAGAACAACTCTTCTGTTTAAAGCTTAAAAGGAAATGAGATGTGGGGGGAAAGCATCCATGAGAATTGATAACACTCGAGCCCTGGGCAAAGCTCCAGCCTGGGAGCTGGGATCCTGCTCCAGTTGTGGCTACAGAGGGTTTCACTCCAAGACTGGGGAGGAAATGGGTGGCAAAAAATGCACGGGGAGGTGCTGCCTGCACCTACAGCTGTGCTCTGGCTTAATCCACACACACCTTGGGCGTGGAACAAATGCATCCAAGTGCTGGGAAGCACCTCCCTGCAGAGCTGGGCTGCTCTGTCCTCCGGGTGAGAGGCAAGGAATCAGAATATGGAAAACATTTTCAGCTATGTGCTCACACCTGCTGGGCTGGGAATCAGCCCTGAATCCCAGCTCTGGGGTCCAGCAAGCTCCTGGGCCAGCCCTGAACTTGGGGGGTCTGTGCAGGAGGGGAGCAGAGGGTTTCTGGTGTGCTCTGGGGTCCGGATGACTGCCAGAGGGACAAAATCAAACATCATTTGGAGCTCCAAAAGGCAGCACATGAACCTGCAGAACTCCATCCCCTGGCACCAAGGGGCAGGACCTCACTGCCTCAGGAGGATGAAGGCAGGAGGGACAAGTCCAGAGGTGACAGCTGAGTCTATTTACCCTGCAGGAGAAAAAAGTGCAAGTGTGAAGAGTTTCTCCTTGCAGAGGGTGAGGAATAACCTCCCTCCTTATCTGCAGGGAAAGGGCAAAAATCCCCGGGTTTTTCTGGCTGCAGGATTTGTGAAATGTTCCAGTGGCTGCTGGTGAGGATGTGGATTTCCCTGGGCTGGAAGGATCCAGGAGCAGCAAGAATCACCCAGGACTGGTTTGGGACACTTCAAGCTGAACCAAGCAGGGGTTCCCGAAGGAAAGGGGTGTCACCCCAGAGTCCCCAGGGCGGATCCAGATGGAAATTAGCTCAGCTTTGGAAGTTCTGGGAAGCAGGAATGCTGGAGCAGGGCTGTGCTCAGGACAAACGCTGGGCTCTGTCACGTCATGGGGACAGCAGAGTTAACCCAGGCCAGCTGTGCAGGATGGGTGTCACAGCTGTCCCCAGGGGTCACCCTGTCTGTGCCACCAGGCTGAGGTCACTCACATCTGCAAACACAGGCTGACGTGTTCCGGTGGGCTTTGGTTAATGTTTTGTAAAAGCCGCGGTTCCCAAGGCTGTTAGCAGCCCCAGGACTCCTGCACACGGGCAGGAACGATGGAGCAGTGACGTGCTTTCCTGCTGAAAAGGAAAACCCATAAATGCATTTTCCCAGGAACGGAGCTGGGCTGCAGCTCGGACAAGTGCCCTCCACACCCCACAACAAGGGACAAGTGCTCTCCTGCGGCTGCAAAAAGCCAAAGGCTGCTGTGTGAGTGACGCAGAGACATTTTAGACAAAACATAGCTGAAAAACGAAGCAAATATTCCCCCGGTGCTTGGAGAAACGGGGGATGAGGCAGCAGACACGTGGCAGGGATACGGAGCAGGTTTTACGGGCACCAGGAAGCCTCGCAGATCGCTGACCTTCCCGAGTGTAAACACGCAGCTCCTCCGTGCCCCAGCCTTACCAGGAACTCGATCTTTGCTCTTCCAGGAACCGCGTTCAGCCGGACAGACCCACCCCAGGAGCAAACACCGCTGGGGCTGGGCTGTGACATCCCCGGGAGCCGCGCTCTCCTCTCCCCCCTGCTCAGCTTTTGTTCCTCCCCCCGTTCTCTGGGATTTCTCCTTCCTCTCCCCATGGATCCAGCACTGAAGGACAGCTCCTGCCCACCCGGATTCCCCCTGCCCTGCCCGGTTCTTCACCGCGGTGACTTTCAGGATGCTGTAAAACACAAGGCAGCGGCCGCATGCAAGAGAGGCGGTGCTGGTGCCTCATCTTCTATTTCGCGTCTCGGTCTGATGGTGATGGAGACAGGGCAAGGGGCACAGCGGGGGTGGGCAAGGTGGAAAACGGGGCCAGAAAAGCAGACAGCAGCCTGGGTGAGTGCGGGAGCCCGGCTGGGAAGGATGGGGCGAGGGCAGCGTGGATCGTGCCGGGGCAGTGCGGGGAGCTGGGGGGACGCTGGAGGGGAGGGGGATCCCAAGGAAAGGGGGATAGCCGTGAGCCGACACCCGGCAGAGCAGGGAAATGAAACCCTCGGAGGTTTTGGATGTCCCGCAGCGGGAGCCGGGACCTGCAGAGCCTCACTAGGTGTCAGCAGAGCCCCGCTGCCGCTCCCGGAGAGCCCTTGACCATCTTTGGGAGCGCAGCCGGGCAGGAAGCGGCGGCCCAGGCTTCTCCTCCTCCCCAGCCTGACAACGTGTCCCTGTCCTTCCTGGGACCGTGTCCCTGTCCTCACCAGGACAGTGTCACATCCCTCACCGGGACAGTGTCCCTGTCCTTCCCGGGACAGTGTCACATCCCTCACCGGGACAGTGTCCCTGTCCTTCCCAGGACAATGTCCCATCCCTCACCGGGACAGTGTCACATCCCTCACCGGCACAGTGTCCCTGTCTTCACCAGGACAGTGTCCCATCCCTCACGAGGACAGTGTCCCAAGACAGTGTCACATCCCTCACCGGCACAGTGTCCCTGTCTTCACCAGGACAGTGTCCCATCCCTCACGAGGACAGTGTCCCAAGACAGTGTCACATCCCTCACCGGTCCCATCCCTCACCAGGACAGTGTCCCATCCCTTCCCAGGACAATGTCCCATCCCTCACCAGGACAATGTCCCATCCCTCACCAGGACAGTGTCCCATCCCTTCCCAGGACAATGTCCCATCCCTCACCAGGACAATGTCCCATCCCTCACCAGGACAATGTCCCTGTCCTTCCCAGGACAATGTCCCATCCCTCACGGGGACAGCGCTGCTCCACACAGACCCCGGCTCTGAGGGAGGATCCCAGCCCATCCCGGGGGCTGCTGAAAACACCAAGCTCCGGTGCCAACTGCTGCAGCACGGCTGTGAACTCTTTTGGGAGCATGTCCTGGAAGCAGTCAGCGGAACCGTCTGTGGGAACAATCCGTGCCACTCCAGGCATCTCTTCCTCCATCCCCATCGTTTTTCCCTTGACCACCCCAGGCTCGGACTGTCCAGAGACTTGTCCCACCAATCTGGGGTGATCTTTATCCCTCCTCGGGGGTCTGGGAGCTCAGGGCTCCAAAGTGCTCCGTCCCCCTGGATGCACAGGAGCCTCCCGGTTTTGCGATGCTTGGGATGAGCCAGCAATGCCAACCACTCCTGGCACAGAGCGCCCAGAGCCCCCCGGGATTTACCCTGAGAAGGGGTGCAGCTGTTTTAGTGTCCCATGAGGACTTTTCTCCCACCCTGCACCCACCAGGCTCAGAGGGATCGTGACCTCAGCCCCCGCCGTTGCAGCCAGGTACCATTTGGGGTGACCCTTTGATCCCTTCCACCTCCTCCCAGCCCCAACAGAGGCCACCCCACTCCCAACCAAACCCTGTCACTGCAAGAGGGGGGACGAACCCCTCCCCAAGGGGATCTCATCCCCCCTAACCCCACCCTGGCAGCGCATCTCCAGCCCCATCTCTAGACCCCAACCTTCAGCCTTACCCCTCTCCCAGAGTATGCTGCATCCCAAAGCACCCCTAACCCCTTTCGGGGGGTCCCAAACCTCCTGAGGACCTCACTACCC